TGGGGAGGGAGACAACGTTACCAGTGGACTTGGTAATTGAAGGTCCTACAGTGGAAGATTCGGTGAACTCAGATTTTGTGCAAGGATTGAGGCAGAATTTACAAGAGGCCTGTGACAGAGCCAAAGAGTATCTCAGGCAAAGTGCCAGGCACCGGCCAGAAGCGGAACTATGAAATCAGGGTGCACAGAGAAGGACTTAAGAAAGGTCAGTTTGTCTGGCTCTTCGATAAGTGGAAGAAGAAGGGGAGGTCCCCGAAGTAGGAGCTTCTTTGGGAAGGACCATTTTTACTGGTCAAAAGACTGGCCGACGTGACATGCAGGATTCAACGGAAGCCTGATAGTCAGGCTTTTGTGATTCATGGGGGTAGGCTCAAGCCGTACACTGGCCAAACCCTAAAACTACGGAAGTATTAGTCATAGATAGTTGAGGATTCCTTGATGGAGGAGACGGTAGATGGACCTCCATCTGTTGATGAAAATGCTGTGGATGAGGGAGTGAGTAAGATTCAGGGAGGAAGTGTGGAGCCCCTTGAGGCTCTAACAGTTAGTCCTGCAGGAAAGGAGGACATGGGTGTAAATAGTATAGAGAAGGCCTCTAGGAGGTACCCTAAGCGGGAATACAGATTTCCTGCACGGTTCCGGTAGACCAACTGCTTCAGGGTCAACCCCAAACCAACATTAAGACATCCCGATGGAGGACGTCAGATTGCATGTCAAATAGATTGGAGTAGCTACCATGGAGATGTTACGAAACAATTTCACGGGGAGTGGATCAGTCGGACGTGGTCAGCCGCCAGACGTACTGCCGGACGCCTTTGGATGGAAGCCAGTAGGCCTTCGATGAGTCGGGAAGGAGCTTGACGTCGTGATCTGCCTGTATACTTGTTTAAATGACCGATAAATCAGGTGTAGTATACGTATTGATTACTTCTAATTGATTTTGTGTTACGTGTTATTTCAAAGTGCTATAATTTTTAGTAGTGCTTGAAATGTTGATGATTACCAATATTTTGTTACTAGTTAAGTAATTATCATTATTTCAGAACAACAAGGATATTTTTAATTGTGAAAGTGCGAAATTAGTCTGAGATAAACTGATCTTAGAAAGTGTGAAAACAGAATACTCATCATGTACGTATTTTAATTTTGTACGAAAGGAGCCAGTGAACTTAAAAGAAAAAAAATCGTGTAAATTTCGAGGAATAGTATAAAAGTAATGCTAAATAGGCTTACAGATTATGCTTATTCACAAGGTTTATCCGGTAAACCTCAGATTTGCTTTGTATAATATGAGTGCATGTCCACATTGTATCTGTATTTAACTGGTGTGAGGTTTGTTGAGCCTCATAATTGGGATTATAATTGCTTAAGGTATAGTGAGTGGGGTTTAAGTAGACCTTATGTTGTTATAATTGTATTGTATTATAGAGCCCAGTGTCTTATAGTTTTGGATTAAGCAATTTGGCCTGGGTCGGACCAAGCTTAACTGGGGCCTGTGTGGCGAAACCGGGGTAGGCGTGGAAGCCAATCGAAGTCATTAACTATTGATGCACACGTTGACCAATTAGCCTTATCACTAGGTTTGGGCACTTGCGGCGTGCTTAGTGCATGCACTGTTAGTTCGCTGCTGGGCCACTGAGTGACAAGATCGACACTGAACGCTGTGTGCTGCTCGTGCCGACTGTGATGTAGAGCGTGACGGTGCACTGGGGAGCGCTGCGTATCGACTGGTAAGTGGAATAGAACTGTTCATTGGGTCTTGGTGTAGGAGCAGTACTCTAGAGCGCAGGTCTTTACCCTTAGCTGAGAGCTACAGTGGTACGGTGATTCGTGGATTGCTTGCCGTCTGTGAACACTGTAGGTGGGGTGACAGCTGGGTTGAGATCCGAGTATCATTGAACTGACTTGCCTTGACTGAGGGTTAATACTGGGAACCCTCTGGTTCCTGCAAGGGTTATTATCCCTTGGATTAATCGAGGGTATTGAGGATCATATCCCATGATCTGTTAATAACTGCTTACTAGTAGTGTGTATCGTTGGTAATAGTCTAGCTTATGGTAAAGTTGCCTGGTGGTAGGCTTACCACGTGAAGATTATTGAATTGCCTTTTGAGTTGTACTGAATAAATAGACTTTGTGTTTTGATATACCTCATTGATTTATTATATGTAATAAACCTATTGCACTGGTTCATTGTGCTTGAAACCCTGTGTCACTGTGAGGTTTATGAAAGTTTCCCTGTTTTTCCATGCTCTGATACCAGTATTGATCTTGTCTTTCCTAAGTAGAGGTAAATTTCCAACAAACGACCTGCTTCCAGGCTTAGTCCGCCGTCCCTTAGCTGATATCCCTCCCTTGTATGATATAGCGGCTCATCATTGCAAAAGGTTGATTAATATATTTCTGGGGTTAGGCCGGGTCAGTTCCGTCTCTGATAAAGCCGGTTTACTGGGTCCGCCACAAGAGGTGTCAGATTTCCCGCCATACTACGAAAGTGTATCCAAACAAAAACACGAACTTAATTCAGATGTTTGCACAATAAATTATGTTCTGAAATGTCAGTAATAATTGTAAAACTTCACGAAGCATGGATTGAATTCTTCGCCCAGGTCGTGCCTGCTGTTCGGCAAAATTGTTGATCTCTTTATTGGTGGGATACGCTCACTGACAGTTTACAGATGTCTTATCTAAGGTCATCTAGTGGCAGCGCTAATAAGATATTTTGCATGCTTGTACCAGCACGTAACTGTGTCCAGGATCAAGGATCAATGACTTTTATCAAAATAACCGAATCATCCAAAAAGGTTCGGAACTTCTGGCTTAACTCCGTCAAAAGGATTTGATGCTTTTTAAACGTGGATGCTTTAGAAATTTGGATACTTTCTCAATTCGGATGCTTTTTCATCTCGGATGAAATGAGATTTCGGGTAAAATGCGTGTGCCGACTGACAGCTTTACGTTGGGAAAGTGTTCCAATTTCAAAAATATATTCGGAGTCAACAATGTTACTCCAATCTTAAAACATGTTTGAACTTTCAAAGATCGTTCCAATCTTGGAAAAAAATGTTGGATTTGTAAACTCTTATTCAAATTTTGAAAACGTGTCCACCCGATACAAATTATTCCTATCTAGAAAATATGTTCAAGCTATACAAATTCATCCACTGTTAAAAAATTCATTCAAATCTGACAAAGTATTCCATCTTTAACATTTCGTTCGGTTTTTAAAGAATGCATTCCAAAAGTCAAAAATACTATCTATTTAAAATGACATCTGTTGTAAAAATACATTGGATTTTTAAAAACAAGTCCGATTTTGCTTCGTGCTTTGCATATTCTGTTCCGTTCGTGGGCGCTCCCGGTTATCAACGGGTCTTTTGGCAGGGACAGGCGTGCTCTTCGTGATCCCGCAGGATGTCCGCGGCGCGGAACAGTTGGTCAATTTCGCGACGCCGCCTGAAGGGTGCATTCCATCAAATCGTTATGTTTCTGCGCGTGACCCCATTAATATTTTGTGGTCCCCGGGCGGATTCAAGATTTTTCGAAAGGGGGGTCCAACGAAGGACTTACAATTATTTTGTTACATACGGCATGAATTTCAAGGGTTTTTACCCTTTCTCCATACCTTTAATATTTTTATCAAGAGTACTTATAATTAATCATAACAGCTTTACTACTTCGGTGAATTTATTTGATGACTCCAAAAGCAAAAGAAATCAAAACCGTACTTTCACTTCGAGCGCCAAAGTTAAAAGAATTTAACAAGGCACCCTCCCATAAGTGTGAACACGAGTTTTTTGTGATTCAAGGTACCATATGCACTGGCTTCATCACTTACTGACAAAACCCTTATAGCACATTGCCTAATGCCCTGGCCGTAGCTCTGGAAGTGCATTTTGGCCACGGTAGTCAAGCCACCGCCTTTTCTCTGGATTCTGGTTACTTAAGAGTGATGGGGACGGCAACCATACCAACAGACGGCTGGCCTCTTGGCGATTCGGTTATTGAAGTAAGTCGAATAGATAAGATGGGCATCACCACTGCATTTTGATGATCTGGTCCAAACACCTTAATTATTATGATGTTTGGACAATGGCAAGTCTTTTGGGCAAATTGAAAGGGTAATAACCGTAATATAACCGGTAGTATAACCGGTAATAGCCGTTGTGAATTTCCTGTTTTTCCGTTAGGGCCTACTTTCTTGAACACATCAGGGGAAAAAAGGTCTCCCAAAAGGGGGGGGGGCTGGATCCCCCCTCTGTATCCGGCTATATGCTATGACCCCTCAGTGGTTTTACAGTAAGACATGTCATAATCAGGAGGGATCATAGAAATATTTCTATAAATCCCGAATTTGGGACTGACCGTTTCCAATTCGGGGCATCAGTCTTTCACAAGAGCCCCAATTGCGGGCACATTTTGGATGGAGGCGGGCGCACAGTTTTACTACAATTTGGGGGGTATCTTTAGGGAAAGGCGAATAAATTTTTTTTGTGGCTAATCCCCTTGCAATTGAAACAAAAATTGATCTTTTGGCCCTTATCTTGATTTTTCAGCGGAAAAAAAAAAACAACCAAAAAAAAAAAAAAAAAAAAAAAAAAACGGAACGGAAGCCAACCTCTTCCCAAGAGCCATCAACAGGCGGCTCTATTTCGGTCTGATTTTGCACCGTTTTCTATGAGCGCGTATTTGGTGTAGTGCAACTTCAAAGGTTTTGGAGTGCAGTAGCATTAAATGTAACCCCCCAGTATCTTTTGAAAAAAGGAGATTGTTTTGGGCCCCTCGAAATTGAGAGGTTGTGTAAATCGTTGCAAGGATCAACTCCCTTGGTCTTTGAGCTTTCATATGAGAGGAGAATGGCTGAAAACTACGGTTGAAAAATGGTCCTAAGTGTCCGAGAGAGTTGAGGGTTGCCACTTGAAAAATGGCTGAAAATCACTTTCAAGGGGGTGATTTTGTTTTGTGAGAATAATTAAAATGTAATTGGTTAACCTTCAAAAAATTGAAATGACTGAATTGAAAGATTAGGAACCAGACAATAATTTAATTTGTGTTTCAGAAATTCAGGGATCTTAGTATGCATGTTATTGGGCCCTGAACAGTGCTGATTTTACACAGTTTTCATTGGGGCTTGAATTAGTGGACTGTTACCGTATCCTTTGGGGTACAGTGTCCCAATTCAAGGAAAATTCTCCGCCAGGACGAGGCGCACACAAAGTACCCCTTACAAATTCTTTCGAAAGGAGGGGCCTGTTTGGGCCAAGAAATGGTAGGATTGTGTCAATATGGCCCAGAATCATCTCTGTAGATTCAGAGGCACCCATCTGGGGACAAAAATGTGATTAAAAATTTGTCAGAAGAGCCTCCGGAAGGTGAGGGACATCATTTGAAAATGGCCGCTGAGAAAACTCGGGAACTTTCACTTTTTGGGGGGTGAGTTTGTTTTTGGCGGATAATTAAAAAAATCATTAATTTACCCACAACATTGAAAATCAAATGAAATCTGAAGGACCAAATAACACACTGTTTTTGTCTGAGAGGCCTCAGGGACTTCAGTTGCCTACCATGGGGCTCCACACTTGGTTGATTTTATACTATTTTCAATGAAGCTTGAATTGGTTCAGTGTATGCACCCTTTGACCGTTTGGAGCACCGGCACGATTTAGCACGCCCTCAAGAGTCAAACGAGTCGCAAGCGCATTACGCAAACCGCGCAGTACCAGTAAATTTGTCTCCGCAACTTGACGACAAGACCGCATCAGTTTTTTAATGTTATGGGGCGGGCCGGTCCGGTCACATTTCACTGTTTTGTCAATTACATGCACATGTATGACGCTGCAGGTGAACTTTTTTTTACTGAGAACAATTTTAACTGACGAAAGACCAACACTGGACTTTTGTAAGGGTAAGTGATTTGATTGTACAGTACATGTATGTTCGGCACTAGCACAGACTGTGTCCGGTGATGATGGGCGTATTAACGTTCGTTTGGTCCACTGGAAGTTGAAGAGCGGGACCAAGTTACGTCCATGACGTCACATGGCCTACTCCGTCACGTCCGGGTACCGGGTGTAGTGAATAAAGGCACTGGAGCGTGACTGGACTTGGCGTCAAGCCAGGCTGCCCCGCCGACCGCAAGTTAGTCTTGTGAACAGCACCATACAGTGATGATACAGTGATGCATTTTATCATCATCAGTCTAACAGTCCATTACTCAGATCGGCCACTAATTGTCAGGATTTCCAGGATTCCCGGTAAGATAGAATAGGGCCTACATGTGTATTGGTGACGAGGAAATTTTCTTATAGTATAATACTGGTAGTGGTACATGGACGTGTACAATATCCACAAGTCGCCATACCGTAATTTGCGTACTAGCATGCTTAGGCCTACATGCAGTAGGCCTAGTAGTACTTTGACCAATAAACAAAATTTTATGGCTTCATTCTCACTAGTTAAAAGATAGTACTACATGGACTTGATTGATGGAATAATGTCCTGAAGAATATTGGATGTCACTGAAGCAACAAAAACAACGTCGTCTGCTAACAAGTCTGATTGGCTGAATAGTAAATCTTGCATGTTGGACAGAGTGTGCATGTGCTTTGAGAACTCAAAGTCACTACTCCGTGCGTCACACTCAGATGGAGTATGATCATTGATGGAGACTTTGATGACTTTGAGTTCTTGAAGTAGGAAAGAGCACATGTATGTACATGTACGGACAACACTAATTTTCCCGTAGAATGTTATAACTCTAACGTAATGGACAGCTGTCAGAAAGTGATAACATTTTCAAAAAGCTAAATTCACTATTTAGCTGAGAAACTTCCGAAGCATTTACCAACACTTGTGAAGAGTTCCATACATGTACATGTACGAATGCCAGTTATTATTCCGTACCATGCCTATTGTGATTAGCCATCAGAAAGTAACAACGTGTCCAGAAAAGTTCAATTTAGGGGAGAAAAAACCAAATCATTAGCCCACATGTACCATGCACATTGTACTTAGAAAACGCTTTAAATTTTTCTGAAGTCTCTTAGGTTTGTGCACAGGGGCATCAAGTGTTGTCCATATGGAACTCTTTCCCTTACCGGTACATGTATGTCACCATAATTTGTGCATGTACATGTACCTTGCAAACGTCATTTTATGCAGGCATACAAGTTTTCCTCGGATCAGCTGATTTCCTCACTTTTCATTCATACTCATGCCTTTGAAAAATGAAAACACTGCGCAGAATCTTGTAAACATTACAATTTCATCATCTTCGTCAAAATCCAAGTTGCATGCCTGTTTAAGGGGATTTGCTAATGCCCTACACTGTACTTCTGAAAAATCTGCCTGTTAGATCTCTTGAATGAGACATTATTTTTTGCATCGTTTACATGTACTAGGGTTTGGTGATGCAGTTTAAGGAATAAACACTTTTATTCGCCATACCGGTACATGTAACTTGACTTTGCATCACTTTCTCTTTTTTGTTCTTGTTTGTTCCACTTTTTTCTTCTCCTACATGCTGTGCATGTGGTGTACAATGTACATGTGGAGTATAAACTTTTGACTTTACCCATAAGCGTGAAATTGCTCATTTGTGAGTGTAAATAAAGTGTGATGGAGTGGTTTTAAACAAGGCGCCAGGTGCTGATACAGAAATTAGGGACCAGAATGGAAGTGCTGTTCATTGTTGACCATACCAGTACACTGTAAACTGGTTTTAAACATGTGTTGTACAGGAGTCTACATGTACATGTACAATGTACATGTACCGGTATGTACATATATTTTTTTAGATTTTTTTGTTTAGTTTTGCCCTGCCCGATGTGTATTATTAGTATTACACTGTATACCCAGTGTTTGCCCCTGAAGGCTTGTGGAAAAACCCACAAGTGAACTCGGGTAGGACTCGAACCCATGACTTCCTGCTTACTGGTGCAGATGTCTTAACCACTTGACTACCAAGCTTGCTGGTGTCGGCTGGCTGGTTCGAGTCAGATGTACCGGTACATGTACATTTACATGTACATGTACGGTATATGCACAAGTACATGTACATGTAGCAGCGGGTACCGCGAAATACGTACATACAGTGTATATGTACAGTGTACTATATTTCCAAGAATGCATTTGCACCAGGGAGATGTTAATTAATTTTTAGATTTGGTAATACCAACTTGCTAATTATCCAAACTGCAAATACTGGCCAGTAAATGGTCCCACACTGTATAAGTTTTTTTTCTTAATTTACATGTACATGTAATTTTCAATCACCCTACCTAGATGTGTACACTTACGGTACTTGTAAGCAACGTGTCGGCAAACGTTTACGAGGACATGTTACAGGTTCTGTACAATTGAATAGGTGTATGGTACCGTACCGGTACAGTGTACATGTGACTGTACAATTACTGGCATACAATCATTACGTGCACATACATTTAAGATTGCCCCATACATGTGTATGTACATATATATGTAAATACACCCTATTATCTTCTTTTCAAACAAATTGCTTTAATGGAATTAAAGGTAATGCTTTTTCAATTGAAAGATTAACAACAGTGTGTAAAAGTACATTTGCTGGTTGTTTAGCCCTTTGCATATACATGTACATACACTGTACGTGTAATGCTTGCACAGTTGCATGTACCAGCGTTATTCACAATACATTAACCAAAAATAAACGTGTCCAAAAACGTTTGGGCTCTACTAAATCATTATACATGTTATAGGCCCTTTTTCTAAGCCAGAGTACTGAAAATCTACCGGTGATGAACGTGTGACACAGAAACACTTTGTAAAACAAAAAAGGGATTAGAACGACCAACAAAAAAAGAAAACTACATCCATGTAGTATTCACCTGACAATTGTCATCATTCTCTTGAATTGAATACCACATTTGAGGTACATGTACATATAATGTACATGTATGCAGTTAAAATTGAAGATACATGTACCTGTATTGCAAAGAGTTCACTCCATGCTTGAAATTTCCCACCTGAAGACATACATGTACATATATACAGAAGGTACATGTACAGTACTGTACATGTATTTGTGATGTTTGAACAGGGAAGTACATGTATACATGTACCTGTGTACAGGCACTACTATACATACATGTATATTACCCGCACATGTACGTGTACATGTACATGTGTACATCATCACCTGTTCATACATAAGGGCCTTGACTCAAGGCTATTGGTTGGTACAGTACACGTACATGTACGCTGTACGCATTACCTGTACATGTACATGTGCACAATTAAAACAAACTACAAATACCGTACATGTACATGTACCGGTACCAAATGACGTCACTTCCAAGCAATGACGTACTGTACAACGTAATTAAAAAGTACCGGGAGGAACTATTGATTGCTACCGGTACGTGCACATGTACTGTATGTCATACATGTACATGTACGTACTGTATACATGTACTGTAAGTTATAGTTGGTAGAACTTGGTGACCATCTGACCATTGGCATCGTGGTGATAAGGGATGCTTTCTCTCCCCCTGAAACGTTTTCGATTAATAAAAAGGGAAAAGTACATTTATGAGGAAAAGAATTTTAAAAAAAATAGAGGAATGTGGTTAATTGTGAACAACCACAGAGCTGCTTCGGATGCAGAGCATTGTGGAAAAGCCATTCGAACATTTTGTGAGCTGTTTAATTCATGGAATAAATGAAAAGCAGTCTGTTAAAACTGTACAAGCGGTGTCATCATGGTGTTCAGTATGTCAGGTGACTTTATGTTAAATATCATGCATAATACATGTACTTCTCTTTCTAGCTTTATTTACCTGTAAAATTTCAATTCCATCAGGTCTGTACATGTACAATGTACTTCAGGAGAGTGCTTTAAAGGGGATACATGTACCTGTAATGTCACATGGCATGTTGGGTGGTGACATCATCCTCACGATATAAATCATTGTTCGTCTATAATCTATAACAATTTCCTTCCTAGATACATGTATCTACAGAGTTGCAACACAATCCTTCAGGTGTAGTTAATGAGATGGTTTTTTGAAAGGTGTACATGTACTTTCAGTGTCAAGGGACTTATCACCTGAAGGTTTTATCATCCCATGATATCAATTTTCGTCTGTAACTTTTCCCTTTCTCTTTCTGTCTACCTGTATGTGCCAAGTTTCAATGTAAACGGGCATGTACCGTACACATACATGTACTGTACTGNGGCCATTTGGGGGCTTTTAGATTCCAAAAATTTTCTGGAACGCTCCGCGCCAACCAATGGTGGCGCTCCGCTTAGATACATGTAGTCCTGCCGCCACAAAAACCATCCTGGGCAGAACCCTGATATAACATATGTATGTATGTAAATACACCCTATTATCTTCTTTTCAAACAAATTGCTTTAATGGAATTAAAGGTAATGCTTTTTCAATTGAAAGATTAACAACAGTGTGTAAAAGTACATTTGCTGGTTGTTTAGCCCTTTGCATATACATGTACATACACTGTACGTGTAATGCTTGCACAGCGTTATTCACAATACATTAACCAAAAATAAACGTGTCAAAAAACGTTTGGGCTCTACTAAATCATTATATACATGTATGTTATAGGCCCTTTTTCTAAGGCAGAGTACTGAAAATCTACCGGTGATGAACGTGTGCAGAAACACTTTGTACATGTACATGTATACATGTACCTGTGTACAGGCACTACTACATGTATACTTACATGTACCTAATATTACCCGCACATGTACATGTACATGTGTACATCATCACCTGTTCATACATAAGGGCCTTGACTCAAGGCTATTGGTTGGTACAGTTACGCTGTACGCATTACCTGTACATGTACATGTGCACAATTAAAACAAAATACATGTAAGACCAACAAATACCATACATGTACCGGTACCAAATGACGTCACTTCCAAGTAATGACGTACTGTACAATGTAATTAAAAAGTACCGGGAGGAACTATTGATTGCTACCGGTACTTGCACATGTACTGTATGTCATACATGTACATGTACATGTACGTACTGTATACATGTACTGTAAGTTATAGTTGGTAGAACTTGGTGACCATCTGACCATTGGCATCGTGGTGATAAGGGATGCTTTCTCTCCCCCTGAAACGTTTTCGATTCATAAAAAGGGAAAAGTACATTTATGAGGAAAAGAATTAAAAAAAAAACATAGAGGAATGTGGTTAATTGTGAACAACCACAGAGCTGCTTCGGATGCAGAGCATTGTGGAAAAGCCATTCGAACATTTTGTGAGCTGTTTAATTCATGGAATAAATGGAAAGCAGTCTGTTAAAACTGTACAAGCAGTGTCATCATGGTGTTCAGTATGTCAGGTGACTTTGTGTTAAATATCATGCATAATACATGTACATGTACTTCTCTTTCTAGCTTCATTTACCTGTAAAATTTCAATTCCATCAGGTCTGTACATGTACTTCAGGAGAGTGCTTTAAAGGGGATACCTGTAATGTCACATGGCATGTCGGGTGACATCATCCTCACGATATAAATCATTTTTCGTCTATAATCTATTTATAACAATTTCCTTCCTAGATACATGTATCTACAGAGTTGCAACACAATCCTTCAGGTGTAGTTAATGAGATGGTTTTTTGAAAGGTGTACATGTACTTTCAGTGTCAAGGGACTTATCACCTGAAGGTCTTATCATCCCATGATATCAATTTTCGTCTGTAACTTTTCCCTTTCTCTTTCTGTCTGCCTGTATGTGCCAAGTTTCAATGTAAACGGGCATGTACCGTACACGTACATGTACTGNTACCTGTACCGGTACTTCAGGAGATGTAGGGCGTTACAGGATGCATTTTGATATCAAGTCACTTGTTATGGTACTTGAGATGTCATCATCACATCAGGTCCCATTTCATCTTTCAATAGCCTGGACAAATATTTTAAAAAATACATTGTAAAGAATGCCAAATACCTGTAAGGAAAAGTGAAAAAAATCAGGTTGTGATATCACCAAATTTTTCAAATGTATCATAACCCTGTTCGCAACCAAACCATAGTGCTTTACTGGTACCGGGTAGCTCTACCGGGGGGGGGGGATGGTCCTTACCAGACTTTATTCTTGTACTTGATGTTCATGAGAGATTGTTTTAATTTGTTTCTGGGCAAAATTTCACATGACAAGTGATGATGTCGTCAGGACTAATATCTTTTCGCCACATCCTTGGGTGGTACTTGTACAGTACCTAAAATGCAAAGTTTTAGAGCAATCAGTGTATATGTACATGTACCAATGATCAATTTTGAGGAGAGTTTAAACTATATCTCAGTCCATAACAGAAAGTTTTATGCATGGATCTACTTTTTCTGAAAAGTGACTGTTTTTCTTGTCCCATCAGTCATGCTGATTGCTACTTGCAACTACAAAGCCATTTAATTGTTTGGTTCCAGCCTTTGTTTTTTAAATTAATATGTATGACTTGTTCTTGTTGATTTACAATATAACTGAGTGGCTACCGGTAAGCCATTCACATTTGTTTGTGCAGTTTTTAAAAAAAAGTTGCATCAAATTGTCCCGTCAGTCACACTGGAATCAACCTTGTACACTGTATGAACCAACTCCTTCAAGTACAGTATGTACATAAACAGAAAATTGCATGTACGGGTAGCTGTTTCAATTTCCATGTACGCACATGCGTGGTGGTATTACTTGCCTGGCCCTACCTGATGGAAACGCGATCTTACCCTGACTCCTCCCCAACCCCTTTTTACTGCTGTCTTTTGTAAAGTGATAAAAAAAGAGAGTACTTTTCAAAGTGCCATTTCTGTACACGTGTACATACACTGTACATGTACATTCATTACCCTCATCCTTTTGTTCAGCCTCAGTGAAAACATCTGGTCTTAATCATGTTAATCCTCAAAACAGAAACAATTTTCTGCCCTATTATCAGACACGCTACATACGGGTACACATACATGTATTTTACCATATAAATGTACAATTACTGGTAATGTGCACATGATTGGAATCACTGGGAGGGAAAGCTGATGTCATGCCTTCCTATCACAGATGGGTGTTACATGTAAGTGTTTACATACATGTACATGTGTTGTTTTATTTACTGTTGCACTTCAAACAGTTCCAAAGTAAACATGTACATGTATTGCCCTTTTTTTTTCAACAGAGTGGATTACTCAATCATTTCGTACCTGTACACCTACTGTACAGCACATGACTTGCACAGCAACACAATGAGCACCACCACTCCACAAACAAACCTGATGCTCAGTTTAGAAAACGGCTTCTTGAATCAAGAGGAGAAACTGAAGCTAGTGGGTACCAGTCCTTACGCCATGCACCATAGTGGAGGAGGCAGCGGGGATGTCATGACGCTGGTGACCAGAGAAGCTGGTAGTCAGCCTTCCATCAGCGGCAGTCCCATGACTAGTTCCAGCTTGGAGGACAAGAAGTTCCGGGATCCATCGGAGGCACAGGCACAGCTACCTGGAATGATGCAGGCGTATAAGTCTCTCATAGCCAGCGTGGGGGAGGACCCAGACCGACAGGGTTTAAAAAAGACGCCGGAGAGGGCTGCCAAAGCCCTCATGTTCTTCACCAAGGGCTATGAACAGAAAATAGAAGGTAAAAGAGCAATTCTGTGCACGTATATGTACGTGTAATCGTCATCAGACAAGTTTTGTTGACTCAGGTGCACCAATTATTTTGATGTTAATCTTCTGAATTGCAATTTGATGATCAGTACTAGAGATGCTGGTACATGTACATGGATCTGTAGATGCATACATGAATATCAGAAAAAACCTGAGATGAATCCACCCAGTCATATTCGCTTTAGGAAAATCTGCATGTTTCAGAGATTTCAGATGATGTTTCTGTATCCCTATACAGGTACATGTACATGTAGGTCCTTCTTGTATTGTCTTCAAGTCTTGCTGGAATTGAGAGAGTTGCAATTTTGATGGTGTTTTGTCTTTTCTTTTCACTGTGTCAACAAACTCACTAACCTGTAAGCCTGTAGATGCATATATTTTAGTAATTTAAACAAAAGGTTATTCCTTATCCTCTGGGTGAAAGAACTTTACAATGCACTGAGTGTACATGTACATGTATTGTACATTGTACATGTATACAGGGATGTACGTAAGCATACATGTATGTACATTTACGCGTGTACATGTATGTGTACAAATTTTTATGAATGGGAACAAATTGTACATTGTACATGTACATTGTTTGTACTGTACTTGTACAGTATGTGTTCTTAAAATCAGTCTTATACGTTCATTTAGCATTGGTTCAGGAGAATGGACGCTGATAGTGTCCCCAGCTAATGCACATTCATGTACATGTACCGGTACATGTAATGTACAATATACATGTACCAGCACCGGTACAATTACATGTACATGTACTGGTATGTACAATGTGCAGATGTATACATGTACATGTACTGTATGTATTTGTCCAGAGCAAAATTGGTGCTTACAAGTTACAGTATTCATGTGTGCATGTACAGCTGTATGCACTGCCTTGAACCTTTTTGGACTCCTAGACAAGTTAGGCAAGCTTTTTTTTATAAGTCGGTGCTCAGATTTTTTTAAAGACAAATTTTAGAGGGGGACAGAAAAAAAAAAACTAAAAGAAAAGTACCGGGTATTTTCTATGGTCTCAAGAAAAAACAATAATTGGTCTTCAAGTTGAAGGGAAATAATACAAAAATCCCTCCCCCAAAGGAAAAAACAGGTATCCCTTGCCACCATGACCACAAGCTTCAGCCACGGAGGACCAGAGCTCACAAAACTGAAATGGGGGACTTAGCCATCAATCGGACAGCAGAGCCCCCCCCCTATTTTGTTACATTTATATTGATACATTGTTGGTCGGCAGATCCAAGACTTCTCAAAATTAAAAAAAAAAAATTCTAGTTCTAAATCTGCAAGGTCAAAGGATCCAAGCACTAACTTAAAAAACACTCTTACCCTTATGAAGTGCACACAACATCAACATGCTGGTATTCCTCCTCCTTCTCTGTACACATACAAGATGTACATGTATATTGTATGTGCATACCGGTAACCCCTTAGAAAAGCCGAGACTTTTGGGTTGGCTGTACTCACAAGCATTGTAAAGTGCATGTACGTGTACTGTAGTACTGAACAATTTATAGTGCAACATTTTTCTTCCATTTACAGTGAACTGTAGGACTTAAGTTTGTATTTCCAATCACAAAAAAGCAGAGCATTTGTAGTGCATTTTTACTGAAACAAGAATGTACATTGTAAGTAAATCTACGAGTACTTGTTGTTCATGTAACGGTACATGTGCAGTGTATTTATTAAATACGTGCATTAAATCTTGAAAACTTCAAGATCGCAACAAACAGTCCACACAGTGTAAAACCTGTGGATGCGCTTGAGGAACTGTTGAGCCAGTTTTTCCCGCTCAACTCTTGACATTTCATCAGCCCTATACCATGCAGAAGATCAATAATTGCTAAGGGCAAAATTAAAATTACGCTGGTCCCGTTCCTGTGTGGTATCAAGTTGAATTTGTGTGCATATGGTCGTGCACTGATAATGCAATGTGGTGGCAGTAATTAAAGAAAAGCTGGGCTATGTTTGACACTGATGTAATTTATGGTAAAAGCAATTAAAGTTAACTGCTATGAAGTTGAACAGAAAATTTATTTTCTTGAAGAACACCTTCATGTTTGAATTTGGGCTACATGTAAGTTACTGAAAGTTAGTGGTGATGTCCATTCTCTGAAAGAAATTCAGTCTTGGAGATTCAGACACATGAGTACGAAATGTACCTAATTGTACATGTACATGTAGACTACAGTGTACCTGTCAAGTTTGTATACAGTACATGTACATGTAATTTCCCTTGTCTACAATTGCAAGTTCCCCCTCCCTCAAAAACCCATAAAACATCCACATCATTACAAATAGAGTATTTAAAAGTCAGTTGCATTAACCGTAACTGTACTTGCAGGAATATTGTATGCTTTCTTCTCAGTCAGAAGTGCAAAGGTCTCGAAATGAATGAAAACTACCCATACAAGTGCATGTACATGTAGACTGAGATGGTATACCGTACATGTAGTTTATTACGTGTACCAGTTGTAACTCATCTGCCGCATTTTGTTAGTTTGTCAGCATAGCCAAGGCAGTGTTTGTTCCTTGCCTCAGGATATTACTTTTCCTGTTATTGGCATTGAAATAAAGTGGTTTTTTACAGACAAGGCTGTATAATTAAACATCGGTGAATGACACGCCATTTACCGGTATACCGGTACATGTACCGTACAACATGTTTGAGTACTCGTACATACATGTATATGTACAATGTACATGTACATTGTACAATGTACCCGGTACATGTACATATACCGTATATGGGGTGGAGGAAAAATCATGTTCATATACACAGTGTACATGTACCGGTTCATGTATAGGCCAAAAAGGAAAACATTCCATTGCGTTGCACCAAAGCCCATGTAAAACTGCAAACCTCATTTCCTGTGTGATACAAGTACGATCGTTTTTCGGTATGTACTTGTACTGTACAGGCACCGGTAGGCCTACACATGTACATGTACTATACATGTACCGTATACCAGAGTTGTTTACATGTAATTGTTTCATAATGAGTTGAACATTGACAATGTTCCATCGGAAGTCAGAAAATCACTTGACAAAATGTACATGTACCGGTACAGTGGTTTCTATAACTCTTTTCCTTGAAGTTAGACATGCACCATCCCACCATCCATAATGCCAATCACACCCAAAGTCAGACCTTGTCATAATAAGCAAACCTACCAGGAACAAAGACATCACCATCATCATTGAAAGGACAGTACGAGTACCATATGAAAAGCCACAACTGCAAAATGCAAAAGAAAGCCAATCTAACATGAGAATTACAATTGAGGAAGGTGGGTTAAACCTCCCTCTCATTGCCTCGGAAATTACTGTCGGAAGTCTAGAGGCTACAGAAATAAAGACAACTAAACACGTATTTGATCACTGTTAAATCACCATCACTATCTCATGACAAAAACAGAATGAAAAAACTCGCCACTCACCTGTCAAAAACACCCCTGGTCTAATCCTTAGTGACCTTACATGTATCTTCCACTCCAAATACAACTCTGTTGGATTGGCCCTGAGGACTCTGATCGTTCCTCTCCAAATAATCCCCTTGGTCTAGCCCAGCACACATGCACATGTACATGTACTGTACATGTACACCATCCCCTGGCTTTCCTACTACCGTATTGGTATCTTCTTTAAATTTCAATATGGTTTATATTATAGTAAATTAATTAATTTGCCTAATCCTCAGTCCACATTTCAAACATTAATTTCTAGCTCCTTACTCCATGTACAGTAGACTGTTTAATCGTCTTCCATGTTCATGATGTTCTAGGTTTGCTCTCTGTCTTATCTATTTGTAGTTGGTTATTTATGATTTATGAATAAAAGACATGAATTAAAATACCAATATACATGTATGTGTTATTTTGAGCTACCGGTACATGTATATATGTTGTACCGGTAACGAATGCTTAGATTGACCTTTAATGATCGTAAGAACCTTTGAGCGGTATTCGATAGGAGAGGGGTTATCAACAGGTTGGTTTTCCAGTAGGCGTCAGGTGTTTGTGAGGAAATAATTGATCCTCTGGTTGAGGTATTCAACCCCCATGACCAAACAGTATATGCATTGCTTAGCCCTGCTGTATCTGATATACACTGTACATCAGTATGTGCTGCACTCTTTTTCTTGCATTGTGAACACTGGAATTTTGTTGATGATTTCCTCGACTGTTTCTCTCCCTTTTACTACCGATATACAAACCCAAACATACTTTTAAAACTGTTTTCAAGAAAGAGGGTACTGGGTACATGTATCGCCTTGTGTGGACTCGGCTTTGTCCACACACATGTTCACCGGTCCACAATAACGTACGTAGGTTCTGTACACATACTTTTATACTTGTACCGGTACTCTTAAGGGGCTACTGTAAGTAACGGGTAAGACAGTGCATGCAGTTTACATTGTAATGGATTTTGTGATTGACTGCGATTGACTGGGTATTTGGAGGCCAAAATATTACACGTATAGTATACCCGTACCTGCAGTAGGACACATGTAGTGCAAAAAAAAGAGACCGGATTGTACCAGTACGCCCCTACAGTGCTATTCAGAGCTTGTACATGCATGCTGTAAATTGCTGTCTGTTCTCACTATTTTGATAACCATGCCATAGATAATTAGAGTGTTTTTCTGATCGGGGAAGCTTTAGTTGATTGCCAATTTTAGGGGATGTCCAATCTGTCATCGTCATGGCCTATTAGCTAATGAGCAACACTGATACAATAGGGCTTGTTAGCACAGAGTGATTAAGTGGGTTGTTGGGCACATAATGGAAGCTAAGGTATACCATATGCTCAAGTAAATTAAGGCAATCCATGTGGGTAACAGCAGTGACAGTCTGCATGTATAAATGTTAAAGCTGTTGATTGCAACAAATACGCTTCATGTACATTTTACTAGTAATTTATGGTCAGAATTAGCAGAAATGCTTTTAACTTCATGTACATGTGTATACCGGTATGTACATGTACATGTACAGTACTATCTGATTGTGGTAGAAACCTTTGGCAACATGATGGTTTTCAGGCAGAAATCACGTGACTTCCCTTCAGAGTTTCTCGGATGTGCAACGTGTAACTCAACCAAAAAGGAAGCTAAAAGTTGTCTACCAAACCAACAAAACTAGCGGTACCATACTAAAATTAGTGGTACAAATGTACCTGTACATGTATGTCAAAAATAAACCAAGGGATGATGACATCATCTTATAATTAAAGCTCTCCCTAGAGGCATTAAGAAAATTTAGTTCATTTTAAAATTAGAAGGTTATGATGATACTCTACATGCATCCAGTGAGATCTGTCTGTTTTTCATGTCAGTGGAGGTGAGGCGGTTTTGAGCCAGTTACATTGTACAGTGTACATGTACATGTAATTACAGGCATGTACTTCTGTAAATGTTCATAAGTGTACACATGTTCTTTGTCACAACCGAAAACCCCCTTTCTACCCCATGATAATCGCTGCAGTTTTTCACTGGTACACGTACATTAATCTGCATTAAAATGCCGTGTACTGCAATATAGGAAGTTGAATATTCATGCCATCGTTGGGGCTTGGTACATGTATGATCCGACAACAACATCAAATTAAATGCTTGCGCAGTTGCTTTTATTATAGGCTTTGTACCTGAAGTGCTCATGTGCAGTCATTGCCCTTATTATTGAAAAAGCCAAGTTGTTTATAAGATTTTTATGTTTTATTTGAATCATTCTTATTACGAATTTACACAAAAAGGTATTGTATTTCATGTGATCTCATGATCACTCCTTAGAAGAGATAAACATAATCACCGCGGTGGATGACAAATACAGTAAAAAGATAATCGATGACTCGCGGTGTCGTGTTGCTGGTAGCGACGTTTCGGCTGCTAGTGCTGCTAGCCTTCCTTGCTGCTGCCTGATGATCACTCCTTGTAATAAAACTGCACATTTTGTTTTCCGTAAACTTGACTGTCCTGTGCCTGTGGTCAACATGCATGTTGGTCAGTCTCAGCCAAATTCATACAAAGACTTTGAAAACTAATGTTTTGGAGTGACAAAATAAAATTACAAACATTGCATGCATTGCATTGCATTGCATGTAAAAGTAAATCTAATGTTCACTATTTTTTTATATCCTGGTCACTGTGATAAGTTGTAGTTACATGTACATGTACATATAATTGCAAAGAAAACACCACGATATTACTGACCCCACTTGTCTGGCTAAGCTGCAGGTACAGGTAGTTATCAGACATTTTTGGAATGTTTACTATTGTTCATCTGACCATGCGGCCATGATTATCCAGCTCTTTGATGTGCCAGAGTTGTAACTCCTTCTGTTTCCTTCCTGCATTTTTTTACCGAGTGGCGTGGTCATTTTTACGGGCCAACTTCTACCGGTACCCAGGAAAAATTCCTGAGTCACTTTTCCCGAGATGGAAAGTCTAGTGTGGACATTGCGAGTCGGTAAAAGTATGGAAAACGGTTCATGAATAGAACGTACGCGTACATGTACATCACGCCAGAGCACCATGGCATGCTGTAGACAGGGCAGTGTATACATATTACACATTTCCTGCTTATTTGTTCATCTTGTGGTCCCAATCGTGGCCGAAAATATTTTTGTTACAGTTAGAAGATTAACTGCATGTAGTGTTAGGAGTGCACCATTTCCGAATGATGAGGATGGTAACATTATGTCTAAGGATGAAAACAAATGCAGAAAGGTCACGCAAAGCACCCCGTTAAAGTTATTGTATTGACAACTTGGTTACTTCTCCTACAGTACATGTAAGTGGTAAAATTTCCTTGTGTCAAAAGTCCAAGTGCGGACAGTGGTTCCATTTTACCATTTTCCGTTTTACTGTTGGCTCAGTAAAACCCTTGGAAAACAGTCCAGTGCAGATATGGCCTTAGAAGTATCTACATAACCTCAACTGCCCAAGGTCCTTGTTTTTAAAGGGCCAGCTCTCAGAAAGGGGAGGAGTATGGTGGTCCACTTCCAGTAATTCAGTTGTGGCTGGTACATGTATATGTCTTCAGGGGTTTGCTCAAAAGCTGAATTCCCAAAGAGGAAGGCCATTCTTTCCTAATTCCTTTCTCTTTTTTCCCACTGAAGTGAAACTTCCCCCATCCCCCAGGTGAAGGTTTTTGCACAATAAGGTCATTACTAATGACACCACTCATCAGCTTTTTTAGTGTTTGCTGTGTACATGTACTGGTACATGTAGTTGGACAGTGGTCTGCTGTGTTCCCATGGCATGGGTGTGAGCAAGTACACTGTATGAACCTTTTGCCTTTTTTTCTTCTTTTATTTTCAGGAAATGAAAGGTTCAGCATTCTAGAAAGGGTATTACTACCTTTCTGGGGGGAGGGAATTACATGTAATGATGCTTTTATGGCAAAAAAAATTGTATTGTCATTTTGGGAAAACAATTTAATCCCGACTCCCTGTTTCTGACCCAAAACCTGGATGTTCCCCTGTGTGTTGCCTATAAGCACTTGAAAACGTGTTGTCCAGGTGAAAACCTTTGCAGCTGGTCTTTTACAAATTTGCATTGCAGTTGACCCTCTTTTACAAGTACCGTATGGCATTTCCCAGCCTTGCCTCCTTATTGTGTTTGTATTTAAGTAGGCTCAAGAGGGTATCTTCCATACCAGGTGGCCCTGCCTCCAAGGCTTCCTTAAATACTGGTACAGTGGTAGTTGTGTTTCTGGTTTTACCTGACCAAACCTAGAAAAAAAATGCAAGGAACCCCATCATTAAAACAAATTGATAGAAAATGAAAATGTACCGGTATAGTGTCCGACTAGAGACTACTGGTACCAGTACTGTTTTGTACATTGTTGTGAATGGTTTTATTATTTTCTGTTATTTTGAATTTTTTTTCATTTATATTTGGTACTGAAAAAGTGTTTAGATGTTCTTGTACCCCTCAATCAGTAACCCCCTAGGCACGGTTCAAGAGCCAATATTCTGGCAGGACGTACATGTACTCTAGCCCGTTGACGTCGACGTCACTTTAAAAAAGTTAGACATTTTCTTAGCCTTTTATCACTGAGCTACATGTACATGTACATGTACGGTAAAATTGGACAGTAACTTGCTAAAATAATTCATCATAAGCCCCCAAGAAAGAGTTAACCCACTGATACACGTTAATTTTTTTCAGTGAAATACATGTACATGTACATGTATGTTGTGTAGGATGCGTAACTACATGTATTTTGTTTGGTCTGTATGTATGTGTAATACTGTAGGCCTACTTGTAATTCAAGAGGTGGATTACGTGAAGTTATAGAGATAAAACTCAGAAAAATTCCTGAACTGCATTTGTGAACTGCACTATAAAATTCTCTGTCATTACGAGAGAAGCTCAGACTTGTTAGCAAAACAGGACACTTTCAAGCCCCAATTGACTATTTTGTACCGGTGTCCTTGTAAAACATCAGTGAATTAACCAGAGACAAACACATCAATGTTTGTTGCTCAGAGGTTTCAAGGCACTTGACCTTACCATTGCAAGGGCAACATGCATGACTTCCCTTTTGCCATGTTTGCTTATATTTGTGTCCATTTTCTGACTGTGTTTTGTTCCCACAGATGTACTGAATGATGCTATATTTGATGAGGATCATGATGAGATGGTCATCGTCAAAGACATAGAGATGTTTTCGCTCTGTGAACACCACCTTGTGCCTTTTATTGGAAAGGTAAACATCCCTTGCTCATCAGAGGCAGAAAGAATACAGTGTGTAGAGTACACATACAGTGTACATGTATATGTATATGTATACTGTTCATGTACACTTGTTATACATTTTGCAAATGATGGCTAAAGTATGGTACATGTACATTCTCATGAAATAAGTTGAAGATGAATAGAGTGCAGTATACATGTACATATATTGTGAACACATGTACATACATATTCAAACATCCCACTAGCACTCCCAAAAGTGACTGTTTTAGAACCAACACTTATCAGTTGAAAAGACCGTTCGCATTCTTCCATTTTTCTCACATTCTTGCACTTTGGCACACAGTACACAGACCTACAGTACATGTATGTGTACTACTGTAAAGTGTAATCAATGTCTTGCTTGTCCGACAAATTGTACTGTATTTTAGCAACATTAGCCTAAAGTGTAGCACCGGTTTGTATTGTTTTCTCTTTCATATAACAAACGCTTTGAGGGATTTAATTAGTGACACCAATCAAGACAGGTAACTCCTCTTTCCAGCCCCTGCCCTTTACTGGCTGCTTGAAAAAACTCCCAGTGTGGCTGGCCAGAATGTCTGTTTCATTTTCTTTTAAAGTTTTATGAAACAGATTTCTAGTGAATGCAAACTAATTAGTGGTATCCTAACCTAGGCCCCCCCATGAAAACTAATTATACTTAACAAAGTGTTCGGAGTTTTACAAATTTTTCTCTCTTTCCCTCCTCCAACCCCTCCTCCAAAACCTTCAAAATCAGAAAAACCTTTCATTTCTCCTGCCACTTTCTTTTTATTCCCACATGACCAAAGGTCAGGTTAAGTCAGGGAAACCCTCACCCTTGATATCCCCTTGTGTGAAAGCCAGGTTTGTGGTATTACAGTGCAATCAGATAGTTGTTCACATATCACTATCCTGTGTGGTTGACTCAAAATTGAATTTTTGGTCACAACTTAAAACAGCACAACTTTAAATATGGTACAAATCAAATTGAATCATTGCTGTATTTCTTGCTGGTCGTTGGCTGTAAAGTGATATCAAATGTCATTTACTTGAGTTGATCTGTGAATGGATACATTTGATCAAGAATGACTGTTAATTCCCTTTTTGATCATGAAGTGTTCAGACTCTGTTTGACAAATCATGCTGTGCCTTTCCTACAGTAACTTGAGTGTTTTCAGTGATCAGGTACCACAGTTGCAGAAGCCTACATGTATGTACTACAAACTACAAGTAACATGTGTAAGGTGTGAATGCCTGTGGGTATTATGCAACTCAACATGTGGTCAGAAAGTATCCATGTACATGCCTACATGTGCACGTACATGTACCTGTAGGTATGGGTTTTGGTAATCACCAAATGTGAATGCATATTTCAAACATTCAATATGTCAGCCTCGATCACAACTACATGTAGCCCCCTCTCAAAAGCACATGTGAAGGACGTGTTCAACAGTCATGTTCGCCATGGTTTTTTTTTTTACCTCCAAGGTATCGATTGGATATCTGCCAAACAAGCGCCTTCTAGGGCTCAGCAAAGTAGCAAGGTGAGAAATACGGTACAGGTTGTTCAAATAATGAAAAAAAAAAATAAAAAATGATAAGGGGGAAAGAGTGATACAGAACTTGAAAACCAATGAAACCAATGTCTTCTTAGAAGGAAACAGCAATAAATGTGATTGCAGTCTGTTTGCTTGTAGTTGGGTATGAGTTTGCCTTAGTGTTACATGTACTGTACATGTATGCACAACCAGTGGCCTGCTAAATATTTATAACAGAAACATAGTGCTGACCACTTAGGTCAGTGTGTAAATTATACACTGCAATGTATATAATGTACATGTACATGTACACCTTATAAGGCACATTTATAACCTCAGGGCAAACATTGTGTTTTTGCAGAATTTGAACACATTTCAACTTTGATGAAATTTGTCACTATATAAAACTATAAAGGGTACATGTACATGTACACTTTATCACACTCATTTGTAATCTCAGGGTTTTCTCTACCAAATACCGCAGTTTGCTGTTTATGACTACTGCACACCTATTGAAAACAACCTACTGTAACTACGTACAGCCAGTCAATATTTTTTAGATGACCAAACAAAAAAAGGTTGGTTTCCAACATAGAAAGAAGCAATAAAGAAAAAAAACAGAAGTTATTATTTCACATTGAGAGTACCGGCAGTACACTAATACTTGATAAAATGATTAAAATGAATGCATAATCGTATTTATGCGGCTTCATTCCAAATCATCACTGTAGCAATCAGTGTGCTTTCTGCAGTCATGAGAAATGTTTCCCTTTTTTTCTCTGCAACTGCATTACTGCAGCATTCTAATCATGGATGTTACCTTACTGTAACCATGCAGTGCTACATGTACATGTTACACACATTTGTAATCTCAGTGCAAACATTATGTGCTTTGCAGAATTTCAACTTTGATGAATTTGTCACGAGTGTTTCTCCATATCCACTTTTTCAAGTTTGCACTTGAAGGGGTATGAGCTACATGTACGTTGTACCGGTACATGTACATGTACATATACATCCTCTTAGCGTACTCCATGGGCATGCTGATGTACTGTACATGTCCCATTCATGGACATACCAGTATGGAAATCTCATCTGGGATTGCTGACACTGTAGTGGGCTATTTTGGTCACATTGGTCCTGTGGAATCTAGACTGAAGCTTTGTCAGCAAAAAAGTGGGCTTATTAACACCAAGAAGACTCAAACACAAATGTTTGATTTTTGAAAGCCCTTTATTTCCTTCTCTTTTGCATTTGGCATGTTTGGCATTTCGTGTTGATGCAACTGATAGAAGTGAAGTACAAGAACAGTGCATGTTTGAACAAGCTAAAGTTGGTAATGTCAACCTACATGTACATGTACATCCTGGTGAATGAAATCAGTATATTGCAAAATGTAACATACCGGTGTTTGTCATGCTAGACAACCAAACACTTAGTTACACTTCTTCACAATTGCTCCCAAACATTTCAAATACATGTATGTATGTACTAAACTACCCATATACATGTATGGATACATGTATCTCCAAACACGGTCCTGCCAGCTGAGCATTTTGGCCACCATCAGCAGTGTGACAAATGACTGGAAAATAAACGAACCTCTCCAAAAGTGGCCAACAACTGAAATAAATAGCCCCGACCCAGGTCCACATTAACATTCGAAGCTGTCAAAATTGGAGTTTGCCCAGGAAATAGAAAGACCTGAAAACTTAGATCGCAATTAACCTACATGTACTTGAAGATAGCAATGTTTTGGTTCGCTCATTAGTTACAACCAAAGATCGGATACATGCTGTTCATACTTGCACATGTACCTTCGCTAACAAACCAACCAACTGCATGTACATTGTAACCACAATCTAAATGTATGCACACATCTGCCTTCTGAACCAGCAATATGTCTTTGATGGGAACAGAAAGTGGTGCTGTCAGGAATCTGCAATGAAGAGAAAGCATTTTCAGGAATCCAATAAGCAGTGGTCTCATTCCTTCCAAGTCTGTTTCCCTCCTAACCTCACCCCTAGAAGTGTAGTCATTCACTATCATCAGTGATCATACCATTATTTTAACATTTTTAATCCAAGATTGGACAGAAACATATAAAAAGGCAATCTTAACTCCATTTGGTATGATTTACGAGTACATGTACATATTTTGCATGTACATTATACCTGTACACAGCTGTCAAACATTTAACAGCATACCAACCTTTTCAGGTGGAGAATTAAAGAGTGTTGTCATTTTGTTTAGGAAATATAGTAGTTCTCGTCAATTTCAATCCTGCAGCCTGAGGGTTTGCCTAAAGGCATCTGGTAGACTCAGACCAACCCCAATACCTTGTCACTCTTTGTTGATTTGGATTACCATTTCTTTTCTCTTGACTTAATTGCCAGACTCTTACCATCTCACTGCTTTGCATTTCCTTCCAGGATTGTGGAGATATACAGCAGAAGGTTACAAGGTAGGTGTGAGTCATTTCAGGACTGGGAGCTCTTTCTCTGTGACTAGCCACAGACAGGGTTGAAAATGGACACCATCTGCATGCACATCATCAACCACACGTACATGTACATGTATTCAGCATTTTATCCCTATATTGAGGCCATGTGAGCTGTCATTCAGATTCTTTCTTTTTTTCTAGAGCCCACTTTGTTATTTACAATAATTGGTCCTACTGGCTGCCGGTAGCAATTCAGATATCTGGCATTCAGACATCTTTTGCTAAAATTCTCACAATGCTACTATTTTCAGGCAAATTGCTGAAGAAATAATGTAGCTCATGTAATAACACAGAGTTGGCTCCTTTTTTATCTCATAATATTTCACAAATCATCTTGGAACCAAACAATATTTCTATGAAAAGATACATACATGTTCATGTACAAATCTGTAGCATTACCCAGAAATGAAGTGAAAATATGTGTCGAAGAAAAAAAGTGCCCAGGGACCCTTCCAGAAATTTTGATAGAAGGCTAGATATGCCTGGCACATAATTTCCATAACCATTTGTTTTGTTTTGTATTTTTTAACAGTACAAGAGAGACTAACCAAACAGATAGCGTTAGCAATGGTTGAAGCAATAGCACCTATGGGAGTGGCAGTGACTGTCGAAGCCACGTAAGTTTAAAGTTGACACTGCATACCAAACCCAATGAACAGAAAATACCCTGTGTACACCTCAAGCATGTCAAGAGGCCATTGTCATCCAGGTGGTGTCACAGAGAAGTCACTGCTGACTCCAAGTGATTCGGATGACCTTAAAATCACAGTATAATATCAACAGCAGAGGTGCTGAACAAGTTCAAATGGTGTTTAGCTCAGGGCACAATGAATCCAGAATCTTCTAGGGAAACTACATGTACTTGTATAGCCATCATGATGAACGTTGGAATTTCAGGCTATTCATGATATAGGACAGCAACAGGTGGAAAGGCTTGTGTTAATCTCTCTTATGAGTATGTGTGGTTCTGAAAAGAACCAGGAGTATATGTATACTCACAAATATACTCCCGGTTCTTTTCGGAACCACACATACTCATAAGAGAGTTATATTCCTTCGCATGGTACTACCGGAAGCCTTTCCAGCTGTTGATGATGAACGTTGATTGTTCCCGTTGTGGTTAAAGCAGCTTTGAAGATTAGGAGAAAGAAATTAGGGGTCCAAAAGTGTGCCATTTTTGTGTCCCTGTTACATCTGACCTTTGTCATGTTACATTGAAATATCATCGGAATTGATTTCAAACTATATATGTACATGTGTTTGTTTCGCAGGTAATTTGCATAAATTCATCACTCTTGGAAATTAGAAAATGTGTTCTGAACTTAAAAAATCATACATATACAGATGTGACAGGGACATGAAAAACAATGGACCCCCGATTTCAGGAATTTTCTATGTCATGTAGACAAACTGCAAGTCACATTTAATCGAAATACATGTACTCCTAGTGCGGAAACCAGATTTAGAGAAATTATACAGGTGTACATGTACCGGTATATTGCGTGAAGACTGGTATCAAACTCTTACATGTACATGTACAATTGGCAAAGTTGAGATGTTGAACGCCTGATGTAAGTTGAAAAGTGAATATGATTCAAGAAACACAATGAAATTCTCTAAAGTTACCGTTAGGCTAGAACTCCCCTAAAGTTTTCAAATTTATTGTGACCATCTGATTTGACAGTGTAGTTTCTCGTCTGCAGTTGTTTGCTGGCCTGAATTAAGTGGTTAAATGATTTGTTAACATGGATCTTTCCACATAAAACAGTACTTTTATGACATTTTCTCAAGCTGTGATCAAAGTGATGAAAAGTCAAAGGAATTTTGAAATGGAACAGGTACATGTAAGAGTGTAAAGAAAATGGTGCATTGCTAAATTTTAAAGAAAACTAACGTGATAAAAAACTGAGGTTGCTGTAAAGGGACAGTGTAGTCACAGTGAATTTATAGGGATCAACTATGTGAAGTTTGCGGTGACACCATGTAATCAAATTCTCTCTTTGAGTGTGTGTGGTTCTGAAAAGAACCGGGGTTCTCTCTTTCTCCTGAAAGACGAACAGAGCACACTGTTCGAAACGTCGAGTGAACCCCGGTTCTTTTCAGAACCACACACACTCAAAGAGAGAATTTGATTACATGGTGTCACCGCAAACTTCACATAGTTAGTACTTTCGCCATGCATAGCCTCAAGTCTTATTTATAGGGATCAATTGTTTACTTTTTAATCATGTTTGATTCAAAGTACATGTACATGTACCAAGACACCGGTACAAGACATTAGACCGGATGATAAATGTGTGTTGTAATCACCAGCATTTCATATTTACTATGCAACAAGTAATCAAACCGCATGATAGTCAGAGACATGACACGTCTTTAGTTGGCAGAGTGTCTGATGCTATTCTGACTGTAGGGTCACTGGAATGGATATCTGAATTGCTGTTCTGATATTTGCAGCGTTCACCCTATTTCCTGTCCGATGTGCTCTTGCTTTCTATCAGAATGCCTGAACATTATAAGCAACTGTCAAACTATCCATGTTTGAACAACTGTTTGGTGTTTGATGTCTGAAAATATTGAAATAATTCAACAGCGTAATTTCTGAATACATCAACCCGAAACAATTTGTCTGAAGTTTGAAGGTACATGTAACTAATCATTTACCTACATGTACATGTAGCTAATTGTATACTCAACAAAATATTTCTAAATAGATAATTAGGAGCAGCTGCCCAGATGTACTATCATCCGAATATCTGACTATTCAACTAATTATAATATAGATGAACAAAGAAATTGACTGGAGCAGGATTTGAACCTGCGGCCTTTGGAACACTACCAGTGCTCTACCAACTGAGCTACCCAGCCCTACGTTGGTGGCTCTTCCCATTTGTCAATATCTCAGTTTGGAGGGGTGCTAGCCAGAAGCCATGAAACCTGAAACACCATGTAGCCAGGGATCACAACCCAATTACACATGATACAACCTGGGAAGTGGTGAACAGGGATCACTGAAAAGAGGTCACAGCTTTTTGAATATAAATCACCTGGTCAGTTTCCCCATATAATTTGCTTATGATTTATGTTTAATTTTTGCCTCAGCCACATGTGCATGGTGATGCGAGGAGTCCAGAAGTTGAACAGTAAAACAATAACCAGCACAATGCTGGGAGTCTTCCGCGATGACCCCAAGACAAGGGAGGAGTTCCTGTCTTTAGTTCGCTCCTGAGCGACATGCCCATATGCCAAAGTATCCAGGGCATCAGAGCTGGTGCACCTGGTTCAAGTATTCAGGGGGATCCCATTGCCACTGCCTCATCTGCCAGGGGACTCGTAGCCGGGAGACAATCTGTAACCACAGAGGGTGCTGTTCTGTCTGCACACGGACAGAACGAGGGCACAATGTGCGTGTCACTTTCAAGCCTCACATCTTTGTACCATGCTACAGCAGACAAGCAATCAAACTGGAGTTTGTGCCACTTTTTAGCATCATAAAAAGGGTCACTCCTCAGCACGTACATGTGTCAGTACACTAAGCATTGTCAGCATATCCTTTGAAATCAGATCATGAACATGATGAAGGTGAAATGCACATATTCTATTTCAGTTTAATAAGTGTAGTGATCAACTAGAAAGCTGCACATATTCAGTTTTGATTGCACGTGTTTACTGCACGTCTCTGGATTAGCAAAAGTAAATAAAATGAAATAAAAAGCACCATCAAGGTAAGAGTGTCCTCTGTAAAACCACTTACATGTAAGTTGGAAACCACCCCATAGCCCATCCCTTCCTCCCAGCCAGTTTCTTATTGCTGGACCCACCCCTCCAATCAAATTGAAAATTGGTCATACACATACACCTTAGGTTAGAATGGTGGGGGTTAAGACTCCTCAAGACCAACACAAGAACTCCAGTCTGAAGTCAAATCACAAGCTATTTAAATAAACTACAACAAAAGTTATTTCTCCTTTATCATTGTTCACCCTGCTTTTTGTGGCTGGTCTTGTGTCTAGTGTGGATAGTTAAACTAGCCTCCAATGATGAGCCATGTAACTTGTACATGTATTTTCCCAAGATGATTGCAAAGCCAAGGGTAAAAGAATGCTCTGTGGATCGCTGAGGGAGGCTAGTTTTACTATGCCGTAAGGTACATGTATATACATGTAGTGGTCGGTGTTTGTTTTATGACATTTCATGCACAGATTCTGTACACCTTACCATCAACATGTCATTCTCACATGTAGAACCTCTGTGAAAGGTTACTTAGATCCATGTTATTTGTTTGCTCAATTGCTCACAGTGTTGCTTCTCTGTCCTAGTAAGTTTGAAAATGTTCACAGTGTAATCACACTTTTCTCGATGTTTGTTGAATCAGTTGCATCAAGAATCAAGTCTGTGTAGAAATGTTGTAGGAACTATGTTGAAATAACACCTGACTATTTCCAATTATGTTCCATTATTATTGTAGTAAATACCCTAGTCCAGTGGATACGAGGGTGATAGACTAAGTTTTGTGCTACATGTATGTGCAAAACAGGTCTTGGTTCCATTCATGGTTTTGTTACTACCGGAACTGTGTATGGTATTTTCTTTTGGTTACTACATGTGTAGTATTTTATTCAGAATGAGACTTCATATGGAACTCTCTCTGTCTTCGCCAGTGTTATATTATTTGCCTGCCAGTATAGCTGGTAAATTAAGGCCAGCCTTCACTACAAAAGCAAAAGAATCATTCACAAAGTGTTTACAAATCTCATGCAACTTTCAATCATCAAATAATCAATACTATGATGACACACCTCTTGCGGGTTCTTTATTCTGGTTGGCTGAAACATGGTCATGTGAGTTTGTTTCTGCATTCAACTGGGGACCTTGAACAATAGAGGACAATAAGGTCCCCGATTGACAGAGGGTCCCCGATTGACAACTGTGTACAAAACATATGGGTGATCTTCTAAAAAAGTTTTAGTACAAACAAGAGGAACAATAGGGGGTCCCCAGTTGCAGGCAAATACACACTTGTGTGGGGTTCACAAATATAGGCTAGTGCAAGCAATTTTTGTCAGCTTGAATTAGACGTGCGCTATTTCTAAAGGAAGATTTTTGACTGGATGCAGTGTCCTCTATATAGGGCTGAGTCAATTTGAATAATACACTATTGGAATATTCCATCAATGCGATCAAATATCCAAATATTCAGTCTTATCACCAACCGACAGATTGTTGATGATTAAACTGTATACAAAATCAGTTGTAATAATGCACACAATTGTACATTATAATCACGTAAATAGCTTATCACATCTGGGAGTACGGTATCTCCAGCCATGATTAAGCAAGATTTAAGAAACAAACAGTACTTCTTACCCTGTTGAAAATTTCTATTCCTTTTAAATTTTTTAATGAAATGATTTACTTTTTGAGTTGTAAGATTTCTGCCGCTTTTCATTAGAATCTGCACAGTTTTTCTCATGTAAAACAAACCAAATTCTCCCTCTTCATGAATTTTGCATTTGATATTCAAATTCGGAAAATGATATTCAATTATTCACCTATTCAGATACTTGGTATAGACTTTTACCTGTGATGTCACGATCATGCTGGACTGCGATGTGTTGTGATAGTAATGATTGCACAATGTTTTAATGGTAATCTACCTATTCAAGATAGACTAGTCAAGCATGTAACATTTGCACATGGTTGAAGCTGCCCGCATGAATATATGCAATCACTGTGGCCAAGGCTGTTCACATGTGGTGGTATTGTTTACATTTCACATGAGTGAAAACGTCTAAAGCCCTATCTCATTAAAGAAATATTTCAAACTTTTCTTTGACAGAGGTATGTTACAAAATAGATATGGACTGGCAATGCTTGTGACCGAATTATGCCACTCCGTATATCTGTCTAATTTGCCAAATAAGAAACTTCTCAGGGTTTTTAACTCAACTACTAATAACCAGCAAGCAATCAATAATTAAAGGAAGGCTTTCAGTTTCCCTAGATTCAGTCTGAGTTGCAGTTCACTTTTCTCGTCATGTGAGGGCGCTGTAAGAATTTTCTGGAATTACGATGCCTTGGCACGTGTCCAGTTCACCCTAATACAGATGTCATACACTAGCCCTTTTAATAGTGAACCGCTTGTGACCATTTTTATGTTTTTCAGCCAACTAGGAGAAAGATTCAGCAAAAGGTGTGTTGTAAATGAAAATATACTTCTCTTGTAAATATGACGGGGCGAAACACGTGTACATTTTGAGGCAAAATCCCAAAGTAATAATTACTGTTTATACAATGTACAGTGGTAATCATCACACGACGTGCCCTCAGCTAAGCAAGATACAGAATCTGGGGTTGAAAGATGTTTCAATTGCATACATGTGTATGATTGTATTCGTACCAGTTGTGGCTTGGGGATGGGATAAGTTTTAAATGAATTAGAAATTGGTATGGTGGGAAAGGTGAGAAATTCATCAATATTTCTCAGTGCTGCATTTTCTTGATGAGTTTAGCATGTTTGTTACTTTGTATCTCTATCTTTGTGAGTGGTGTGTGTTTTTTAAAATTTTTTTCAAGGACCTAACAATCACAGATGGGAAGAGATATATGTATATTACAGCTGAAGACTTTAAGATCCAATTATTACTGGTATGTTTGATTTTCATTGTGAATAATGTTATTATTTTGTGAATATTGTGTACATTAGTATTTTTCGAGAATGTATTTGCATAATTTAGCACACTTGAATTCCTGTCAAGTGTCAACTCTAGAATGTGTTGACTTCCAAATCCAGTGTTGAAGTTGTCGTGTGCAGGTGGAGCTGATGTATGGAGAGACAGCCATTTCCCTTTTCTTTACAGTCTTCCCAAGTTTAGTGGAGCACAAGACTGCTGGTGAAAACTCTGCCCATCTCAAGGTGCTGTGACTGAACACTGTTTGCTGGAGTTCCAGTATTGAGTATGGGTGTGCAGACATACAGCCACATTCGTATTGCCCCAAATCGAAAGACTTTCTTGGGGTAGAAATTGGCATTGGGATGTGTTCATCATACACTGCTTTTCAAATACTCAGATCACAACTTGAAGCTATATGAGTGCTCAGTAGAAACTGCATTAATCTTCCCTTACTGATATGTTGAGCATTCCATTTTCCTGTTCGCATCTCAGAAAGTAAATACATGTCCTCTTGAAGCTCTAGTTTCACTAAATCCCTGACAGCAGTCAACGTCTGCATACTTGTATCACTTGAACAATTCAATATTGTTTACCACTTGCAGCAGTCCATATTTATATATTACACCACCCTGAGTGGGGAACAGTTGTCAGAGTAAGAGGACTTGACTTTTTTTGCCATCAATGACTGTAAAATCTAACCTCTATTTGTAATATAGTATTATATTGAAAGATGTATAATTACTTGATAGGTGTATTATTTTTGGCATTTACCTATGTATAAAGTATCGCCAAACAAAGTGAAAATATTCTCTATTTGGTTGATTATTTTAATATTTACCTTTCATTTAAAATATCACCAAAATGTACCATGGAACTTGCCTTCCATGGACATATTAAACATATTCCCTGCTAGAGCCTGTCACAATCTTTCACTTTCATTTTACTTTTTTCCCCCTTAAACCATTTCCTGAAAATAGTTTCAAAATATATATTTTGTGATGTTGGGTTTCTACCATTCAAATCCATACCAAAACGGCACCGATTTTATTGTCAGAATCCACTTGTAAGGAAGCTTGTTATGTCCAAGTTTATCAGCAAAAATGGATGAGTACTACATGTATTCGGGTGGTTGTAATAAAATTTTATGATTTAAAATTTGAAATGGAAATTTTTATTTAAAAAAGTTAAACTTGTTTGTTAACTATATCTCCCAAACGCTAAGAAATATTTAGGGCTTTATCCGTAAGTGTGGTAGGCCTGTTTGCATCGATGAGTATTGTAAGACATGTTATTTGAAATGGGTAATGTCAAGTATGGGTCATTCCATCTCAGACCAATACACTTTGTGACCTTAGGTCTTCAGATTGTGATAAAAATTGCTATAGTTGTAGCCATCAATGAATAATAAATAGTTGACAATTTTTAGCAGAATCCGCCATTCCATGTGGCTGGGGCAGAGATTAAAAAATGGACAGTTTTCACTAAAAAAATCACCCTTTCAGTAAAAATGAAACATAACCCTCTTATCGAATATATGCAAATAAAGTATCATTTTGAGCACAATTAAACCAAGTGTTTTTGAATGTATGATTCCTGCTCTAGAAGAGTCCGTTTAACTCTTTCTGGGTTGTTGAAAATCAAAAGTGTTGTGACAATATTTTTACTGTTGGTCTGCTTAGAATATGTCGATTTTGTATGCAATCCTAATGAGAGGCCCTACAGGAATTTGTACCCAAGCAGTTTATGCTCTAAAATGAAATCAACCCTAGGTGTATGTAAAATCATATTGAAATTGGAGAATTTGGGACCGGTAGGGTTAATGAATGTTTAATTAAATTGTTTTCAGAGCCAGAGCAATATATCTCACGCAAAATTATTTCATTTGATGAGGAGCCCAGTTTAGGAACATACGGTAATTGAGTCTAAATATAATGAGACACAGTCATGTGTTGACCGTGCAAAACGTAAAGCCTGAGGGTGCTAAACAACATGTACTTTACTGTACTTGCCCTTGCACCTTGCATTTTTGTTGATCTCTGCCCAGACCTCATGGAAGGGCGGATTACAGTAAAAATTGGCAAGTATTCATTATTCATTGATGTCTACAAGCGCAGCAATTTTAATCAAAATCTGAAGACCCGAGGTCAAAAAGTGTGTTGGTCTGACATGGAATGACCCGTATTCTATTTGGGTGGCATTGTTTTTTGACTTACCGATTGCCTGTACTTGTTCTTGTTTTGTGAAAATTTTCTGCCACCTAGACGTCTTGGCCCGTGATCCAGCGTCATGCAGGTGTAAAGAAGCAAAATGTGATGTTATCCGTAAGAAACATCCGTCACAAAACGTGCTTGTTACGGAGGGACGGGGACCCCCCCCCTTTTCCAGGGAGGCGAATACTATATCAATCCCTCCCACCACACTTTTTTCCAAAACCTAAATGAAAATATATACCTTGATAAAGCATTTATTTAAACAACTGGCTACGGTTGCCTCAAATTGTCTCCTATCATACCACATAGCATCTATACTTCAAAACTCCCCGGGCCCATAAGCGGGCCCCGGATCTCACACCGCTCTGGGCTTCGCGTTAGCATTTGTTCTGATTGGGGTTATGCTCCCTTCAATTTTCAAAACGGATTGACAACCCATGTAATTAAAGTCACCAAAAAGAGAACAGGCTATTTCAAGTATAGATATCTCTTTCAAGCATTTCAGCGCTTGTTTATTCTAGTTTTTGCCGAGGGGGGTGTCAACAACCCATTTTTTAACATTTAGGATTTGTGTTGCGCAGAAAAGCACAGTGATACAGGATTGCGAATAAGCTCTACGCCTGATTCACATCTGCACATCTGATGCACATGTAACAGTAACATTTATGGTTCTAACCTGAATCATTGCTGCGATTGGTCAGAACATTGTTAGACGGGGCATAATGATCGGTGTGCATTTATGTGCATTTGTGTTCAGTGCTCAAGCTTCAAAAATTCGACAAACCACATTCTGTGGAGTTGTCAACAATAACTTTGAACCTGTAGTGCTGTGTTCCTTCTCTGGTGCTCAAAAAAAGTTATCCGCTGGGCATTTTGGGTCTTTACTAGGTCTTGGAAGATGAATTAACCCGCGCTCAATCATTTGTAGACCATAATTCACTGCAAACATGGGGCCCGGATGTCACGCTGAGTACACTATGCTTGATGTCTGGACTTGCTAAGCCAAAACAGATCTCCA